TATGTTCAAATATCATTGAACATGTTTAGTTTAGATAAGTAATATCAATAACTATTGTATGCCGATAAGGATAGACATACATTACATTAGCGTACATCATACATATATCATACATTTATGTACATAAATACATACATATAACATAAGCAAACACACATTCATATATACATATGTACAAACATAAACATAGAAACTATAATGCACTGTAACAAGCAATAGGACTAAACGCATAAGAGTGCATACAAATGCATTTTATTCAAATAGTAATAAATTATGTACTTGTGTGTCAAAAATGTTGCACACACAAACGTATGTAATTAGTCAGTAAGGATAGTTTTAAAAAATTGCATATAAAGCCAAATTAAGTAAAAATAAACTTAGAACGAATTGATTCTCCCGCAAAGAAAGTCTTACAATTTCCCCCACCGTTGGTAAGAGCCAAAAGATAATGCTTTGTGGTAATAACAGACTGACCTATTGGAAAAAAGTTTATTATTGCTTCCGTTTACTTGATCGTGGGCCACGAACATTCAAAAAAAGTTTTGTATATTTATCGCATTACTTGAAACTCGGAATATTGGTAGCTTGTTGCTTATATTAACAGGCAGATTGCACTCCTCTCCAGAAAGTGGAATAGCGTCTGACCCATTCGAAAAAAGTTTCTTATTGGTTCCATTAACATGAAGTTAAGTACAAAGGTGGGTTTTTGTTTAAACAAAAGGAAGACAAAACTTCTCTCCAAAAATTGGCCAAGGGACTGACCTTTAACAAAAAAAACATGGACTATTCATCGCATTAACCAAAATTTGGTACAGACGTGGTTTTTTGCTTAGATTAACAGGAGACTACACCTCTCTCCGGAAAGTGGACCAGCGGCTGACTTATCCGGAAAATTTTATTTATTGTTCGGCTCATACGTGGCTTATTGCCTAAGTCTCTGCGGAAAGTGGACCAGCGACTGACCTATTTGCAAAAAGTTTATTATAAGTTCCATTTATTTGAAATTTAGTACGAAGGTAGCTATTTGATTAGATTAACGGAAAGAGGAGCAGGCACGGACTTATTCGAACAAATCTTAGTTAAGGTTCGATTTACTTGCAATTCCGTACATATGTGGGTTTTTGCTAAGTTGAACAGGAAGTTCACTTTCTCTCCGGAAAATGGACCAGGAACTGATTTATTCGCAAAAAATTTATTAATAGTTCCATTTACTTGAATCTTGGTGCAAAGGTACACTTCTCTCGGAAAAGTGGGCCAGCAACTGACCTATGTATATGTATGCTTATGGACCACATTTCTCGACATTCGGTACATATGTAGTTTTTTGGAAATGGACCTGGGACTGACCCATTCCGAAAAAGGTTTGCTTATGGATCGCATTACTTGAAATTCGGAAAATTGGAAGCTTTTTTCGTAGTTTAAGTAGAAGGTTACACTTTGACCCGGGAAAACGACCCTCTACTGACCTATTCAAAAAAGTTTGTGTATGGATCGCATTACTTGAAATGTGGTAAATTGGAAGCTTTTTTCGTTGATTAACTGAAACATTACACTTTGCTCCGGGAGGAGGACCTGCTACTGACCTATTCAAAAATATTTGCTAATTTGAAATTCGGTACAATGGTACACTACACCTTTCTCCCGGAAGAGGACCAGACGCTGAACTTTTCCAAAAATGTTTGTTAATGGATCGCATTACTTGAAATTCGGTATATGGGAGCTTTTTGCTTAGGTTAAGAGGCAGATTGCACTCCTCTCCGGAAAGTGTTATTACAAGTTCCATTTACTTTAAATTTGGTACGAAGGTGGCTTTCTGATTAGATTAAAAGGAAGCCTTAACTTCTTTCCGGAAAGAGGAGCATGCACGGACTTAATCAAACAAATCTTAGTTAAGGTTCGATTAACTTGAAATCCGGTACATACGTGTCTTTTTGCTTAAATAAACAGAAAGACTATACTTATCTCCCGAAAGTGGACCAGGGACTGACGTATTCGAAATAAGTTTGTATTTGGTTCCATTTACTTGAACGTAGACCATGAATATTCAAAAATAAAGTTTGTTAATTGATCGCATTACTTAAAATTCGGTTAATTTGAAGCTTTTTTCGTAGATTAACTGGAAGTTTACACTTTGCTCCGGGAAGAGGACGTGCCACTGACCTATCCAAAAACATTTTTATATGGGTCGTGTTACTTGAAATTCGGTAAATTGGATTGCTTAGATTAACAGGATGATTACACCTTTCTCCGGAAGAGGACCATGCTACTGACCTATTCAAAAAAGTTTGTGTATGGATCACATCACTTGAAATGCGGTAAATTGGAAGCTTTTTTTGTAGATTAACTGAAAGATTACACTTTTCTCCGGGAAGAGGACATGCTACTGACCTATTCAATTACATTTGTTTATGGATCGCATTACTTGAAAATCGGTACATTGGTAGTTCCTCTTCGGGAACTGCACCGGTGTCCAACTTATTAATTATTGCAACAAATAAAGCAATATTCATCGCATTAATCAAAAAGTTATTACAGACATGAATTTTTGCTAATAGTAACAGGAAGACTACACTTATCTTCGGAAAGTGGACCTTCTACTGACTTATTCGAAAAATTTTTATTTATTGTTGGGTTCATACCTGGCTTTCCGCTAAAATCAGCAGGAAGACTAAACTTCTCTTCGGAAAGTGGACCAGCTACTAACCTATTCACAACAAGTTTTTTATAAGCTCCATTTACTTGAAATTTTGGTACGAAGGTGACTCTTTGATTAGATTAACAGAAAGACTGAACTTTTTTCCATAAAGAGGAGCAGGCACGGACCTATTCAAACAAATCTTAGTTAAGGTTCGATTTACTTAAAATTCCGTAAATACGTGGTTTTTGCTAAGATTAACAGGAAGACTATACTTCTCTCCGGAAAGTGGACCAGGGACTGACCTATTCCAAAAACTTTTTATTGGTTCCATTTGCTCGCAACTTTGTACAAAGTTGGCGATATGCTTAGAATAACATTTAGACAATACTTCTCTCCGGAAAGTCGACCGACGGCTGACCTTTCCGAAAAAATTTTAATTATTGTTCGGTACATTCGTTGCTTTTTGATAAAATCAACAGGAAGACTAAACTTCTCTTCGGAAATTGGGCCAGTGACTGACCTATTCAGAAAAGTTTGTTGACGGATCACACTGCTCGAGACTCACTACATATATAGTTTTTTTCGTAGGCTAAAAGTAACAGTGCAGAAGGGGTTAAGGATTGCTATTTTGCTAGAACTATTTACTGGTTTTACATTATAAAGTTTGCTCATTTCTTCCTTAAATGTTTTCCTCTGCGTTTGGCGAATGATCGTCGAAGTAGCTGCTTGAAGTTCCTCAGCCGATAGATGTGAAAATTTGCGTGTTTCCTTTTTTATATGAAAGCGTAAAATGTATGTAGTTTTAACCAACTTGAATATTTGTTAATTAAATTGTCCATGAAAGAATCTTGATTTTTCGACGTCAATAAAACCTTTACTTTGTTGTATTCTTTTATCATTGTTTATTTTTGTTTTTCTGTTGATGAAAGCCATTTGGGTCCGCTCCGACAAATATCCATATTTAATAATTTGGGAGGGGATATACCTCCTGACGCCACATCTGCTGGATTATCATTCGTGCTCACGTGTCTCCAGGTTACTTGTGGAATAAGTTTTTTAATTTCTTCTACTCGATTTCTAATGAATTTATTTATGTTCTTCGGAACTGCAATCCAGCCTAGGGTTATTATTGAACCACTATATGCATAAGCGATATGATGCCTTGCGATGATCACACAAATTTTATTTATCAATTTTGCTAGTAAATGAGCAGCACAGAGTTCAAGCTTGGGCAAAGTTTTCCGATTTTTAATGGATTAACTTTCGTTTTGGCAGTTAAAAGTTTTACGGAAGCGCCAACTTTTACATATATTACTGCAGCGTACGCCTTTTCAGAAGCATCACCGAATCCATGAATTTCTACTTTACAATCCATATTAGTTTCAATCCAGCGTGGAATACGTACTTCTTCCAATGTGCCAACAGTGTCAATAAACAGCTTCCATTCGTTTTGTAGATCGTCAGAGAGCTGGTCATCCCATCCAGTCTTTTCAATCCAAAGTTTTTGCATGTATAATTTTGCGACCACAGTGATTGGTGATAACCAGCCCAACGGATCAAATATTTGAGCGATTTGTGACAAAATACTCCTTTTTGTCATTTTCTTTGGCATTCCCAGATTAATTCTGAACTGGAACTGATCTTGCTTTGGGTCCCAGTATAGCCCAAGTGTTTTCACTGCTTCATTTTCTTTATCCAATGTTGGTGATATTTTTGGTTATATTGTCGCAATTGGATAGCCATTTCCTCAAATGAAATCCAAATAACTGAAGATGCTTGCTGATTTCTTTTTGGATCATAATACAAATCTCCACCAGTCATGAGATCATCCATATAAAAATCTTCCTTTATGATTATTTGTAACCATTTGTTTTCACTAGAATACTTGTTGGCAATTTCAAATAATGTGCGCACTGCTAAATATGGTGCTGAAGCGGTACCAAATGTCACTGTCGTCAACTCGTATTCCTCTATCTTATCTGAAGGATGTTCCTGCCACAAAATTCGATAATACACTTGATCTTTTTTTGAAATTTTAATTTGCCGGAACATTTTTTCAACATCGGCTGTGATTACTACTTTCCGTAGTCTCCACCTGAGAATGATATCAAATACATCCCTTTGAAGTTTGGGTCCTGTCAACATGATATCATTTGGGCACTTTCCATTTAAAGTTTTTGCTGACGCATCAAAGACAACACGAAGTTTTGTAGTTAATTTTTCTTCGCGTATTACAGCCTGGTGTGGCAAGTAATATTTTCCATTTACCTTCTCGTTTGCTTTTATCATATGCCCAAGGTTTTGGTACTCGTGAATGAATTCTTTGTAATCATTGCAAAGTTTTTCACATTTTTTGAGATTTGCTTCCGTGGATAACAGCCGAGCAATTGCCTGCTTACGAGAGTCACCCAGCTCCATGTCGTCTTTAAATGGAATTTCCACAATGCATCGTCCGTCTGCATCTTGTTTAGTGGTTTCCTCGAATTTTTTTACCATATTTCGTCTTCCACTTTAGTCTTATCATCTTGTTCTTCCTCTAGCTCCCAAAATCTTTCAAGGTTGGTTACTGCTGAAGTAATTTTGCTTGGTTTCTTTTGCTTAATTATTCCAGATAAAATCCAACCAAATTTCGTAGCCTGTGCAAGAACTCCATTGTGTTTTTTTATGCCTTTTTCTATTATTCTGCTAAATATATCACTACCAATCACCATGTCAATTCTATCAGTTTTGTTAAATAATGCTGACCTATTAGAGTGTAGTTTTCCCATTTCTTAAAACTGAATTTAAAAGATTGATCAGGTTGTGCAGTTGTAAGAGATGATAAAATTACGGCATCCACTTCTTCGACGTGTTGAGTCAGAAAACGAGGTGTAATTTGTACTTTAATTTTAAATTTTGATTCACCAACCACAATACCTCCTAGGCCATGAAGCTTTGTCATCACTTTTTTCTTTGGTACACCTAGTATCTGTGCTGCTTCTTCAGAAATTGATGTTATTTGTGATCCTTGATCAATAAGAGCCCTTAATAATATGTGCTCACCATTTGCGGCTTTTGCTCTTACTTGAGCTGTGGCTAGAATTACTGTTGTTGAATCTGCTTTTGTAGACATTGTTGACTTCTTTTGAACGTTTTCGAAGTGCAGGAGCTCATGATGACTGCTGATGTTGCATATTTTGCAATTCATATTGCTTGTACAAGTTTTTCCTGATTTATGAAGTAAACACCTGTAGCAGAGTTTATTGGTTTTGGCATATTTATGTCTTTCATTGGTTGATATGCCCTTGAAACTTCGACATTCTGTTATATTATGATTTGATATTTTGCAGTAAGTGCACTGCCTGACTGGATACTTCGCATTTGTCGACGTGTGGTTCGCTTTGAATAAGTGCTGATTTCGGAATTTGTGCCTTTGCTCCTTTTCAGCTACAGCTTTTAATGTTTGGAAGTGTTGATCCAGAAAATCTAATATCGGATAATGTCTGCACCTCTCTGGTATTTTTCAGCGTTTGCTCATTTAATTTGAGTCCTTCTTTGTCCAGCTTCCGAATTATGACTAGAGCAATAAATGGATCTGCGTTTTCAATTTGTATTCCTAGTGACTGTATTGCGTTAAGACACTGATTTGTAGTATCGAGCAATTGCCTTTCGCTTTCAGCATTGCCACTATTTATCTGTGGTTGATCCATTATTCTGTCCCACTGTGTTGTGAATAAAATACGTTTATTATCGTATCTTTGTTTAAGTAGATTCCATGCTGCTTCATAATTTTACGTTGATATCTGTAAATGTTGTATCAACCTTGCAGCTTCACCCTTCAAACAATTGCGCAGGCGTAACATTTTTTCTGAGTTTGATAATTGCTCAATTTTGTGAACCATTTTGGAACACATTGTAAAAGTTAGCCCATTCTTTTATATCGCCATAAAATGTTGGAATTTTTAATTTTTCTAATTCCAAATTTGGCCTATAATTTACTTTAGGTTGTTCTAACTCTAGACATCTTTCCAAATGTCTCAAATTTTCGAAATATTCTTCTCCTACCTTCTTATAGGCATCTTCAATTTGAGCACTGAAGATTTTTTTTTAGAATTCATTCCTGTACGCATTTTTTATTTCGTCGAATAAATTTTCCAATTGTTTTATTTGGTATTTATTGATTGTGCTCTCGAAGCGCATATCAGTCATTTTATTTGTTAAATCTTGAATTTTCATCATGAAAATTTCAATTTTTGGTTCACTCATGTTTTTGTTTGTGGTGCTGTTGTTGGTGTTTGTTGCATGAAATAGTCTTCATTGCCAATGCCATCCGCTAAAAGTTTTTCGTTATTTGCATCTAATTCCTTTTGGAATTTTTCAACCGATTTTATGATATCTTCGGCTTTTGCTCTAATGATTTTAATTCCTGCGACACTATTATGAATCTGCAGTACTCTTTCACTTATGTCCATTTGGCTTTCAAGGAGTTTTCCGCTGTTTATACCCATGTTTCTGTTTTTATTTATTTATGTATGTGATTATTTAGAATTTTTATTCTTCAAAGGAAACGTTGGAAGTAATTGTTTTGGTTGCCCGGTTGACCTTGCTGTGCCTCTATTCACAGCTGATGATTTTCCTTTGAATTATAATCTATTATTTTGCATATATTTTTCTAATATATGGCTTACTTTGGTTTGAGCTTAATTTGTTGTTTCGATTGGACCAAATGTTATTACCACAAAGCAGTAGCAGAGTTAAACTCTTACCACTGGTGGGGGAAATTATAAGACTTTCTTTGCGGGAGAATCAATTCGTTCTAAGTTTATTTTTACTTAATTTGGCTTTATATGCAATTTTTTAAAACTATCCTTACTGACTAATTACATACGTTTGTGTGTGGAACATTTTTGACACACAAGTACATAATTTATGACTATTTGAATAAAATGCATTTGTACGCACTCTTATGCGTTTAGTCCTATTGCTTGTTACAGGGCATTATAGTTTCTATGTTTATGTTTGTACATATGTAAGTTATGTCCCTTTAAATTAGAGGAACTAAAAAAAGGTATTTTTATTTTTTTCGGACAGCGTGTCCGTCTTTATTGAAGCCAAATATAGAACTTAGACTAACATTTTTAATTGACTGACTTTTATACTACTTAAGAATATCTGTTATCTTGTTTCAGATAACGCTAAGAATCCCGTAATATTTTGGGGTTCGTTAATAGGCGCTCCAACACTATGTATTAGATTATGGGATGAGCTATCGTCTGAATTCTAAAGAGCGTGTTAACTCTTCCCCTCTTAAGTCGATTGTCCTCAATCGGCACAAAATTATACAGTGACTTGAAGGTATGGAGCTTTAGGTACATCTGTCACGTTCTCTGTTGTTACATAAAATCTTTTTTTCTTTTTTGTAGAAAATCAGAATAATCATAATGAAAATTAAAATAATTATTATATTGGTACTTATGCTAATTACATGTTTCATTTTATTATCTTTTACTAACAATTGGATATCGTTCTTATGTTCTAGGTGGCTTACATATAAACTCTCAAGTTTCAAATTTACATTCGTTTCATTATTATCTTTATTATTATCTTAGTTATTAAATTTGGTAGAACAAATGTGTCGTAAGTTTTAAGATTTAGGTTGTTGTAGGTTATGTTGGATATTGAAATTTTACAGTTTTCAAATTTTATTATAAATGTGCCCCTTTGCATAAATTTCAGTTTACTACAATCATGAGATACATTTCCATTAAAGTGCTTCAGGGGTTCGAATCTTATTTTGGATAGGGTGTTGGTGGAAAATTGTGGGATAAGTAAGGTGAGTATAATGGTATCTTCCTGAAAGATTGCGGCTACCTTAATGTTTCTATAGCTGTCGTAGTCTTTGATTAGGTCCAGTTCTGTTTGGGTTATTATGTCGGTGGGAACTATGCCTAACTTACTAGAAAAAATGATTTGTTCTATGTCGTCTATGTGATTTCTTAAAAGTGTTATGTCATTGTTAATCCTGTATGTATGTTCGTCAAGTCCTGTACACTCATCTGTTGATTTTTGACACCAAGAATGAATGTCCAGAAGAAGATGGTCGTTAGTAGCATTTTCCTGTTAGAGTGAGGGTATCTGGTTTAGTATTGTCTAATATTTTTCTTGTGAACTATCCTACCTGACTTTGTTTTAATGGTTGTGTTATAGTTCTCCGCTACGATCTCCTTCTTATACCTAGCTTATAATTTATTTCCCAATCTTTTATTTACCTTTATAAATATGATATCATCTTTTGAAAAGTTTAACGGGGATTGTCTGTCTTTGTTATGGTAACAAAGTTCCTGTTGCTGTTTACTAAGTAATTTCTCCTTGATTTCCTGCCTATCTTTCTCTAGAAGGTCAGGATCGCTACTAATTCTCCTCCCAAAAAAATATTTCAATTGGTTTTTTCCCGGTCGTAGAATGCACGGAGTAATTGTACTCTTTAACGGATTTTTCCAATAACTCGATGAAGGATCTGTGGCTCTTCTCCACTTGCAGACAGCGCATTATTTCTTGTAGGGTGGAATGATAGCGCTCAACTTGCCCGTTAGAGCAGCTAGAGTATGGAGGTACCCGATTTATTTCTGTACCGAATTCATCGTTAATCATGAAGTTGAGTTGAGTTGAAGGATCTCTCTTTGTCTATTACTATTGTTTCCGGTACTAAAGTGAAAAGAATATCCCTCAGCGGTTGCCTTATATCTTCGGTTGCTTTGGAGCGAATAACTTTCGCTACTGCATATTTAGAAAATTTATCCACAGCTGTTAGAATAAGCTGTTTACCCATTATTAATATGTCTATATTGACTATTTGACCTGGAAACTGGGGTATAGGAGTAGCTTGTCTTTGAGGCTTTGGTAAATTACGCTCGTATTTATTTTCCTTGCATGTAACGCATGCTTTGGTAATTTTCTTAATTTTATTTGTCATCCCATGGAAATAATACCTTTCCAAAATTTGTGTTTTATTTTCTTTACTATTCCTGTGGGCCCTATTATGTGTATTAATAATTATTTCCTCCTGCTCTTTTTCATCAGTTATATCCTGAACCTCTACCTGTGTAAACCTGATGCGATACTTGCTAAAATGTACTTGGTATAATTCCTGTATTTTTCCCATTATGGATTCCTCCGTTTTAATGCAATTTATTACTGATGGGTTGAGGTATCTCTTGAGGATAGAGATAAGCTTTTGTTGGGAGAACTCTGGTTCCATAATTATATGTCGATGGTATGTTGGAAATATTATTCTGAATTGGTAAGAGGATACTTCGTCGTTTTTAAGAAATAATTGATTTTTGAAAGCGTTAATAGGCGCTTCAACACTATATATTAGATTATGGGATGAGCTATCGTCTGAATTCGTTGCCATAGATAAAGTGTTAATTTGTGTCTCCTTATGAGGAATTCTTGATAGGGCGTCGGCTACGACATTTTGTTTGCCTGGCTTGTAAAATAGCTCGTAAGAGTACTCC